TATTGCTCTAAAAATAGAAACTGTTGCCATAGCTTTCATAGGGGAAGCATTGTTGTTTAGTTTGAAGCGTACTTTGTTTTCTTCCTTATTGTAAACTGTGCCCCAGTTGGGAAATTTTAATTGAAAATGTTTTTTCTGAATGGTCTCTTTATCCTGTGTCTTTCCAGACAAACAAAACTTATTTTCATTGTGCTTAGATATAGAGTAGGCTCTTTTCTTATCTCTTGGAGCTCAAAGCATTGATGGGATATTTGACTGGCTTTTGGCTGAAGTGTGGCTTTCCATAGTTATCTCTTTTCTGGCACCACAGTAGTATTCAGGATGGGGCGAGAGATTGAGGAACAGAATGGAGAATTACTTAGTCTTCTTTGTAGGTCATTTTACCTGTGACTTCCATAGTTATCTCTTTTCTGGGCACCACAGTAGTATTCAGGATGGGGCGAGAGATTGAGGAACAGAATGGAGAATTAATTAGTCTTGTTTGTAGGTCATTTTACCTGTGACTTCAGAGAGGTCACGTGTGAAAATACCGTATTTTTCACACCATAAGATGCACTTTTCCCCCCAAAACAGGGGGGTGGTGGAAAGTCTGTGCGTCTTATGGAGTGAAGAAAACAGATTATATTTTCCTATTTTCTTCTCCTAAAAAATTGGTGCGTCTTATGGAAAGGTGCGTCTTATGGAGCGAAAAATACGGGTAATTTTTGTTCCCATTTTGTTTGCTGAATATAGTCTCTCTCTGAGTTTTCTGCAGGTATGTTAGCAGCTGTATTCTCGAAGGCTCTCACGTCTGGGATCCGATGATTGTTGTAGGTTTTTCAGGCTGTTTGGCCGTGTTCTGAAGGTTTTTCTTCCTAATGTTTCACCAGTCTCTGTGGCTGGCATCTTCAGAGGACAGGAGTCAGAACTCCTGTCCTCTGAAGATGCTGGCCACAGAGACTGGCGAAATGTTAGGAAGAAAAACCTCTAGTACACGGCCAAACAGCCCAAAACACCTACAACAACCATATGCTAACAGTAGCTATTTGTGTGTTTGTGTGTTTGTGTGTTTGTGTGTTTGTTTGTTTATACATACATACATACATACATACATACATACATACATACAGTTCAGAGCTTGAAAATATTACTTTTTGACCTACAGCTCCCAGCTTCCTCCAGCTGTGCCACCTGGGAGATTCCGAGAGGTTCTATGGACAGCTCATAAAACAAATGCAGTATTTCAATGCAATATAAAATGATTAAAACTAAAACATAGTTTGATCTTCTGTCAGGATCAGGATAAAAGTTAGCTATAGGGTGAGGACTTAGGTATTGCTCTGTGCTACCAAGAAGTAAGCCTGATTATTTGTTAGATGAGCCAGTGGAACTCAGTGACTAGGATATTAAGAGTTAGGTGGGACACTTATTCAGATTCCCCTGTTTTGTTCGTTCTGTGCTGTTACTACATCCAAGCTTAACATGTGAGTGGAGAATTGTACGTGCTGTCAGACCTTCTGGGAAAGGGAAAGGTAGATAGGTGTGTAGATGGATGGATAGACAGAAAGACTTGCCTCTTACAGCTATTTAAGGGGTACACACAAGTATGTCACGGAGCTCGTATTATTTTTGCAATTACAATTAGTATTGCAACCCCTTTGGAAATTGCTACCTTCCCTTTTCAAACACTCTAGACATTTTTAGACACCCCTGTCTTTGTTTATATATGCCATCTGTGTTTACGCCATTGTTCATTAACATAGGAAGGGGACACGATGATATCAAACTGAATGACAGATGTCAAATGAAAAACTCCCCTCTCCCCAAATGACCTTTCTGTACAGTCCTGGCCTCCCTCCCCTTTTTTTAATTGTTTCTAGAATTAAAAGAGATGTAAAATCATTTCACAACAGAACTTTTAGGATCAGCTCAAATTCCTGTCTATGGTCTTAGCAGAGCAGTACACCATGCTTTTACTGACACCTGGTGGCTATCCTTTTTGTAAAAGAAAATTTACCTTTTACTTCGAATCTGTCTCTTTCCGTGCTATGTGTGATTTTGTAAAATCAGTTGGAGGGCAGGGAGGGGAGACTTAGCTTTTCACCACATATGGTCATTTAACACTTTTGTGTGCCATGATTTTTTTTTAAAATAGGTGAATAGAGAACACAGTAAAGTCAATACTGTGTGAAGGAATGCATCAGCTACTTCCACTTTGTTTTTATTATCTGTTAATGACCAGTAGTTGGTTGTGTAAGCAATTCAGAACCTAAATGCATGTACAGGTTTCTTTAAAAAAGGAAATTCATATGAGAGAAACAGCATGTTAACATGTTCCAAGTGCTGTTTAAATAGAGGGGTAGAGAATCATAGAATCATGAAGTTGGAAGGCCCTTATAAGGCCATCAAGTCCAACCCCCTGCTCAGTTCAGGAATCCAAGTTATGTAGAGCAGCAACAACTCAAGCAAAACAGTTTCCTTCACGTCTCCCAAATAAGAATTAGTTGTCTTACTTTACCATTTTTGATGAGAGAGAGTGAAAAAGAATTGTTGCTTATGAAGTGCTGGATAGGCCAGTGGCTTAGAAGTTGAGAGTTCAGTTCCCCACTGTGCCTCCTTGACAGGGGCTGGACTCAATGATCCCTAGAGTCCCTTCCAGCTCTGCAGTTCTAAGATGATGATGATGATGATGATGATGATATGATGATGATCTCTCCAACACCAGCACAACAATCAGCTCTTTGTGCTCTCTACCAGCTTCATGGGGAAGAAGTGGTTTCATAGGTAGACCGCCTAGTGGTCTACCTCCAACACTCTTACTTTAAAGATGTCCATTTTATACAATTTATGATGAGTGATATAGCCAATGTTTGGGATGTTGATGCCATAACAGTAAAGCATTCATCTTCACCCCATAGTCATTACGAACCGAGAACTTCCCTATGTCTAAATTGAGACCTAGCTTGTTACGAGCTCATGGCCAGCCCTCTTTTCCAGAACTTGACTGTTTCCATGCAAACATGCTCCTGTGAGAGTGACAAAACGTGGGTTAGAAAAAAAGGTTGCTAAGGATGGCATGGATCTTATCGAGTTAGTTCTACCATCTCTGGAATGGCTTGCATCATTGCAATGGGAAAGAGAGAAAAAAACCTATTTTCCATGCGGGCTGTTTGTGGACCTTCAAAATTTGTTCTGGAAGATGTGTGCCTGTCAGAACCATAGCTTCACAACCATGTATTTGAACAGTGGGATGCATACTGAGGGGACCACATGGATGCACACTTGGGGATTAATTAGTTTTAATTATACATTAATTTTAATAATTTTAGGTCTGTGTGTGTGTGTTTGAAGCTTGTTTTGGTTAACCAGCCTACAAGTCTATAATTAATCAGCTTCCCTAATTAGTGCATATGTCTGCAGTTCGTGTAATTTGAAGCAGGGTAGTAGTTGATAGGAGAGAGGCCTACAGAGGCATGGAGTGAGCAGATTTCCTCCTTAGGAGGTTCTAAGGGTGCCCTAAGCAATGAGCATGCTTAGGGGTCCCAGTGGTGGTGTCTTCATTCAGATGGGATGGGGTAATATGTCCCAACTCTGACAGTCATTTTAGACTTCAATGTATCCAATTAAGAAATGTTACAACCAGTGCTGCTGCATATTTTCACTAGTATTTTATGAAGTAAAGTAGGAGAAATAGGAGCAGGGCTCTCCCACTGTTGTGCTACTATGGCCACCAATGATTGTGAACCATCTAGTAAAACAACTCAGTGCTGGAAAAATGATTTCCTTCCTAATATGCTGCTTCCTGTTGGGAAGAGTGGGTTGATTACCAGATCTTATAGTGTCCTTTGCCAGGCATAGGTGAAAGCCAAGATATGGAACCTATAATCGAGTCAAATGTGAATGAAAGCCACTGGAATCTAATAATAGCTTGCTAACAAAGTATCCAGGACATCTGTTGTATGCATGGTGTTGTATTAAACACTAACAAAAGTTGTTGTGTATACATCAGAATCCAGTGTCTCTGACTTTAGGAGTTTAATATTAATATTAAAGAAAACTGAAAGTTCTCCAATTAAAAAGTCCCTCTCATAAACCTGGTTATTTCTGCTGCTTGGGGAGCCAGCATATGAAGAGAACAACTGAAATGCCCTCCATTCACTCATGCATTCGCCTATGATGCCCTTTTTCATTTTGCTATTTCCCACAGATAAATGCTTATGTACTTTCTTGCCTTTCAGCTATGGATTGAAGGACTTAAATCCATCATAGGTAACTTCAGAGCAAACAACGTTTGTCCCATGACATGCCTCAAGAAACAGTAAGTTTTTCTTCTTTCGTCTCTCCAATTCTTTCTTTCTTTCTTTCTTTCTTTCTTTCTTTCTTTCTTTCTTTCTTTCTTTCTTTCTTTCTTTCTTTCTTTCTTTCTTTCTTTCTTTCTTTCTTTCTTTCTTTCTTTCTTCATACTTTTAACATGCACTTTCAGAAAATTTCCTTTCCTTACTTGGACCAGCAAGAGATAGAAATCTGGGCAGTCTGCGGGAGACATTCCCTACAAATATAAACATCCATGAGAAATGTGGTGTTAATTTATTTTTCATATTTGTTCTGCAAATACAAATGTTCCCAAAGTCAAATACACTTTCAGGGGTTAAGAGAGTTCACTGCTGGACATAATAATATGTTGAGAGATGTCATTGCAGTTATTGGCCTTGTTCAAACTTTTTTCCTAGTACCAAAGGAAGAATGTTTGCCTAATTAAGCCCAAATGTTCTTGTTACCTTTAGATTTAGAATGGCCTTATTCTTTCCTTCATCTAAAAGACTGGTTCTGCTGCATTTCGAAGATGTGTCCCTTTCTTTGTGCTTCCGACCCAGCCTTATCCCCTTCCTGGATTTCCTTGAACTAAGTTTCCTTTCTCCCAACCTTGTAATTTTCCCCTTGCTGTTTCTCCAGAATTTCCTTTTCAACAACAGCGAGGTATTTCAGACTGTTTCAGACTGCTATGGGGATTGTAGTTTGACAGGGTTTCCAATCTAAAGTACAAAAGCAAAACTTCCTTTATCTGCACCAAATGCTGGTTCCCCCAAAAGTTTTCTTCTTCTTCTGAGAAAGGCCTTATGTCTGCCATGGAGAAAAGCTGCTGGGTACAGAGAAGAATTTTGAGCAGATACATATGTCTGGGGAAGAAAGAAATGAAGAGCCCATTGTCAAACCGGAATACCAGCTTTACCTGATAAAGGAAAGCCTTCCATGAAAAGAACTGCAGACCTACCTGCACTCTGCGATTCTTCCATTATTATCCCTGCATTGCATTTGCTAGAAATGGGGTATCATTTGAGCCAAGAACATCCCAGGTCGTGGCCTACATTTCAGTGGTGCGCTACATGTTTGTTGATCCAGTCATTTGTGCATTTGGCTATGTTAAGACTTTCAGTATTGTACCTTCTCCCTTATCCGCACCTCACAACTACATACCCTTTTAAAGTGTAGATTATTAGAATTTTAGTCACTTCAAATGACCTGGACAGAGTTCATGATCCCTCTTTTTATATCATAGCTGTTGTGGCTTTCATGTTCAGTATCTTACAGTATTACATGCTACTGTTAACTTCTCTGTTGTTTGGGGACACATATCCTGAAGATAACAACTGACCCTGCTGTGGTTCACTCAAGAACATGTGGTGCATAGAGAGAAGAATTAGGACATTAGCATGAAGGCTGCTGTATTAAATATGCATGTGTTCTGTTCTTTGACTTTCCCTTGAACATAGAAGAATTAAATGATTAGTTGCATTCATTCAGGTTTCTGTGTAATGGGAATGCGCAGATAGCCGTAGTTATTGAGGAATGGGGGGTTGGGATGACCAAAGCTTCTGTGGTGACAAGTTGGGGTCATTTGTTTGCTTTAAATAAGCCCAGTTACGACCTTGGCTATTTTCAGAGTATGGAATGCTGAACTCCCAGCATTCCTGGTTTGACTGCTATTGATAGACAGTTCTAAGCCAAAACATCTGGAGGGGACCAGTTGAGGAGGGCTGCTGTGAGCAAATTCGATCTTTGGCCAGCCTGAGATGTAGGATTTATTGGTACAAGAAGACAGAGTGAATTTGCTAATGAACTAAAGCAGTATTTTTCATTGCATACTCACATCTAGGATTGTTTAAAAAGTACCTTTGTTATGAGACATGGTTCCATTTGCCAGCTCATGTGACTGATGTCAGGACTGTTGTCAGTCATATGCAAGGGGTTCTCTCTCATAGAATACAGGGTAGTCAAAACTCCTTAACACTTGGCTTAGCTCTAAGTAAGCTCCTTTAAAGTTCACTTATGATTTTGAAAATATCTTTTTCTAAGTTGTTACTTTGAGTGTGACACACCTTTCCGTATATTTTCCTCCTTTACTTTAACATATGAACCAGTTCGTAGAATCTTCCTTCTATGACAAATGTTTATTAACTGTTTTTCCTTATCTTATAGCTGGATGAAACTGGCATTTCTTACTAACACTAATGGCAAGATTCCAGTCAGAAGGTAAGTGCACAGTGGAGTTGTTCAGTGATTCTACCTGACAATACTTACACAGTGATGAAGTTCAACAAATTGCCCAATAGAGTTTATCTCAAGACATATATGTCTGTGGTTTCTGAGGGTTATGCCATCTTGAGCCTCAGCTCTGGAAGGGCTATGGGACCAAGCAGAGTTGTTCATGACCTTTGATTTCCCTGTTCCAATGTTTCTTTTCCTTCATTTCATATTTCATAAATTTTTCATTTGTATTTTAAGAGGAAAATAACGTTGCAACCTTTGGATGACATTTGTCTTTCCCACCTTATTTATTCTTTTGTAGGTGCAACTTCTTCTAAAATCAGGAAGTTGAAGTAACACAGGGGCCTTTCTTGTAGATTGGATGGCAAGAAGCCACTAAAATTATGGCTCTAGCCAAGTTATGTTGTCACATCTTCTCATCTCTATTTATTTATTCTATTGACAAATGAAGATGAGAGAACCCAATTGTTATAGAGTCGAAAACAATGGATAACTACATGAAGCAATAATTATGAATTACATACGAACATGATGTTGAGTCTATAGAACCCACAAAAGCAGTGTAGAAAAAGCAGGGACAAAGGAGCAGATAGTCATCTACTCCAAAAGTGGGCAACAGTATGTAAGAAAAAAAAAATCAATTATCCTCAAGCCTAACAATACTTTAAAGCAGCCATTCTCAATTGAGAGGTCATATGACTCCCTGGAGGCCCCTGGCACATTTGAAGAGGATCAGAGACTGGAAACAATTCTTCACACACCACTTCATAAGATTTGTTAACGCAATTTTGTACAATCCTGAATCAGCCTGTAATTCCTATTGTGTTTATGACCATAGGCAAAAAAAAGTTGAGAATAGCTGCTTTAAAGTTTGCATTTATCATCACATCAGCATCCTCATGAGGAAACAGTACAGATGAAAAAGAGAAACCATTCGTCATCATGAATGATCATTAAATTTAAAAAAGCACTTGTTCATTAAGGGCAAAATATCACCCTCTCAAAACCTCAGGATACGATACAGGGGTCTCAGGAGACAGCTGTTTGCTGTTTGCTGACTTAAGTCCATAGTTCAGGTAGTCGTCTACCAGGCGGGGGGCAGGCAGGCACTCCAGGCAACAACAAAAAAAAGGAAATGTTGGGGGGTGAGGAGGATCCCTCAAAAAAAAATCAATACGATAAAAAGGCCAAAAAAGAGAGAAGGGAATCGAGGTAATCCAGAAAGTAATCCAAAAGTGGAGGAACAGCAGGAAGACAAAGAAATAAATTAATAAATCCGCAATGGAGGAATAGCAGTAGTAGAAGAAACAGACTAGCAAGGAATACATCTAGTCCAATATAGATGTTGGAGGCGCTCTCTCAGCAACAACAGTGGACAAGTCAACAGGCACTGGAGCTAAAGAGCAGCCGCTGTAGTTCTCCAGGACTTTCTAAAGATTCAGACGCCCCCCTCCAACCTTCTAGGATGTTTTCTTAGCCCTTATTGGCTGTTGACAGCCTTCCTCATGGCAGTCCCGATGAAAGTACTGCAAAATAGGAAATACTGTACAAAAGAAATACAATACATTTACGAGGGGGTGCTGATAAGTATTGAGCCTTTCCCAGAAAAAAATTGAGCTAGGAAGCTATAAATTGCAGTGTGTATTGGCCGATTTGTCTGTATTCAATGGTGCAAAAATCAACTACCTATGATTTTAAATTATCTTTCATGTTCAGGTCCAAAGTGAACATGGCAGCACCTCCAGAAAAGTTCAGTGTGGAAGAGCATAGGACTATAATCAAGGTCCTGTTTCTACAAAGGAAAGGTGCAAAGCAGATCCATGATGAAATGTCACAAAGTATGGGTGACAGTGGCCCTTCATATGTAACAGTTAAATGTTGGGTTGTCCATTTTAAAACTGGCCATTTCGGTGCTGAAAGTGATAAACCCAGTGGAAGGCCTGTTTCTGTCTCTGTGCCTGCAAATGTGAAAGCCATCCATGATTGTGGAGGACCTCCGAATATCAGCCAAAAGCATTGCTGTAGATCTGAGAATATCACGTGAGAGAGTTGGTGCCATTATCCACGATGACTTGGAAATGAGAAAGCTGTCAGCAAAGTGGGTCCCCAGACATTTGACAACCGAACAAAAGAGGAAACGTATGGAGTCATTGGTGGCTGTTTTGGAACATTTTGCAAGAAATGAGTCAGAGTTCCTGGACAAACTGGTAACTGGTGATGAGACGAGATAATAAGGGAGTTCTGCTGGTGGACTACCTCCAGCAGGGTTCAACCATCAATGGAAAATATTACTGTGCTTTATTGACAAAGTTGAGGCAAAACATCAAGGAAGAACATTGAGGAAAGCTCTCCAAAGGTGTCATCCTGTTGCATGACAACACCTCATCACACACTGCAGGTGAAACAACGGCAAAACTGACCTCCTTAGGCTTTCAATTGATGCCCCATCCACCGTATTCTCCCGACCTGGCTCCTTCTGACTATTATCTGTTCCTCAGACTAAAAAAAAAAACACCTAAAGGGACAACGATTTGGGAGTGTTCTGGAGGCAACTAATGCTGCAAATGAGTGGTTACACCAGCAGTCGGAAGACTTTTATTTGCAGGGACTTAAGAAGCTGCAGGACAGATGTCGCAAGTGCATCGACTTCTGAGGGAAATATGCAGAATAGTGTGGCAGTTACAGCTTCCTAGCTCAATTTTTTTCTGGGAAAGGCTCAGTACTTATCCACACACCCCTCGTATTACCCACTCTTTTGTGATCCCAGATCCATCATATTTCAGAGGCTCTCTATTGTAGAGCCAGAAAAGACTCTGAAAACACACGAAAGGGCCTCTTTCTTGGCTTTTTTATTTGGGTTAACCAAAAAGTCCCATCCAAAAGTCCCGGTATTTGCCACCATTTCCTCTTCTTCCTCTCCTTCCCTTTCTCTTTCTTCTGTTGCATTCCTTGCTGTCATCATTTAGATTTTAAGCTCTGTGGGACAGGAGAGATCTAAGTCTTTTGAACCTCTCTAGAGCGCTGCCTTTTTTGTTTTTGTTATGCTCTGGGATTCTTGGCATGTCTTCAGGGATAAAGAGAAGCTGGGGCCTCTTTTTACTTTCTTAATGACCCCAAAGGCAGAGAGGAGATTGGGTTTATTTGCATTCTTTGTAAAAAATAAAAGAATGTGGCTGTAAAATAAGCGTTCTTTCAGTTAATAAAGTGGATGAGCATATATTCAGTATGAAAATGATAGGCAGGATAGATTCAGACTGAATGTAAATAAAAGATCTGCACTCAGCTCATGCAGGTTTTGGTGTATGTCCCGTGAACCCAGTTTAGTGCAGTGGAGAGAATAACAGACGGGAACTCATGAGACTTGGGTTCAAATCCCCTGTGGCCATGGAAATTCATGGAGGCGTTGGGACTGGTAAAACCACTCTTTAAATATCTCACTTACCTTGAAAGCCCTATTAGGGTTGCTATAAGTTGGTTCTGACTGGATGGCACATAACACACACTCACCATGGACAAAGGTGAAGAGGTGTTTCTTAGCCTTCTGCAAGCAGTTTTCTCATGAGTGGAAGGGGCTGAATCCTTCTCAGAAACAACTGCTGGTGAAAGAAAAGTGGTTCTGAGGCAGCATATCTCGTGTTGCAGAGCCTCAGGGCTTAATTTGTTTCCCCTGTGATTGTTTTAGAGCTGGTGGGAGGCTGATCCTTTTCCTTCAAAGCAACCAGGAAGAGATGGCAAAAGAGAACCCATGCTCTCTCATTTCAGCTTCCTTCAGGGCCAAAGGAGAGTGGGTTTTCCATTCTTCTTCTTCGTAGTTGCAGAAGGGGGGGGGGAATGGGCTTCAAGGCAGAAAGTTAATTGTCTTTGGAGTACAAGACCTTCTCCACAGTGGATCTGTTGGAAAGAAGGCCTTCCTTTCTCTCAAGGAAGAGGACGTGAGCTTTAGAGGCAGGCCGAGTTCTGATCCCCGATGCCTTCTAGAATGACTGTTGAGGGAGGAAGATGATACAAGGGCTCAAGACAATACAGTACCAGCTTTTCTGTGTTAGCAACAAAGATGCTGTGAGAAGGGCTGTTGCCACACTCACAGGGGTATGGAAATGGCTTTCAAATGTAATATACAGTAAATGGTCTCTGCTTTGTTTTAATTTATCCTTACAAGCTTAAGCAAATAATGAAAGTGAAACTGACTCAGAAATGACTGGTTTGACTCATCTTTGGTGCAGATGCCTGGTTTACATGCCTGCCCCTTACATTATTATAAAGGGCAGAAATGCATCCAGTTCACCTACTGATGTCCTGAGACTTTCAAACCACAATATGTTATGATGGGGGGGGGGAATCTGATAATTAAAAGCCAAATTAAATTGTTCTTCCCATCTCAAGTTGGACCCACTGAAGGAATGAGAGTTCTTAAGTCAACACTAATGGAAGTCCCATAGATTCCAATGTTCAGTACAGTGTTAGGCAGCTTTAGCTGCTCAGATATTGTTTTACAACCCATAATCCCTCACCATTAACTGTGTTTGCTAGAACTGACGGGAGTTACACTCGAACAACATCTTGAAGGCTACAATTGTTGACCAATGGTTTTAGAGTCTGTGAGACAATAGTTTGGGTGCCATGATGTCCTTGAAGACAGCAGTGCTGTACTTATATTTTCAAGCTGTCAATAGAGCAAGTGTGAACTAACAATGTCACAATCTCAGAAGTATGTCTGTGTTAGCTAGGTTGGTGTTTGAATGACCTGTGCTGATATTTTAAGCAAAACATTTCAAATAATAGACTTTTCCTCCTTTTCTATAGTATCACCAGAACTTTTGCATCAGGCAAAACGGAAAAGGTGATATTTCAGGCGCTTAAGGAGTTGGGTCTTCCAAGTGGAAAGGTATATAAATTTTATTTTCCAGAATTATGAACTTGATTAGTTCTAGGTAAATGTCATGGGCTAACATTATTGTTAGGTTGGTTATTGGTAGAAGTTTATTCACTACCGTTTTTAACAATGTTCCTTGCTATTTTTGTACGTTATCATTTAACTTTGCTTAAAGTCAGGACATTTTGAAGATGTACATAGAACATTGTCTGTTTCATTGTGAGTGCAAAGAGCTATTTCTCAGTTCTCTTGCTTTTTGGTTAAATTGTACTGATTGAGGTGCTCAAAATTTCTGCCCCTAATAAACATCACATAGACTACAGTCTTGGAGTCATCAGATTAGCTGGCCTGGCCTGTGAGCCACATTGCCATTTTATTTCTAGGAGTGTCTGTTCTTCCACTACCAGCCAGCACACTTAATGCTAATGAAATTAGACCATGAACTTTGTGTTGTATCATCTAAGCATTGTAAGAACCAATAGAACAGAATCAGTTTAGCATTACAGTACTTGGATTTCCTGTTAATTCTGAGTGTGTTTAATCAAAATAGTAAGAAAATGTTCAGGACAAAGTACAGTCAAGTTTTCCTCTTTATTTTTCCAGAATGATGAAATAGAGCCGTCAGCTTTTACTTATGAAAAATTTTATGAACTTACCCAAAAGATATGTCCTCGTACTGACATAGAGGATCTTTTTAGGAAAATGTAAGTTGATTATATGTATATATGTAAGTTGAACTTTAAATTGAATATTATTCCATCTGAGTGCTGTAATTATAACTATATAATGACTTTATGCTATGTTAATATGAGCAGTCAGATTTTTATTCTTCTTCCAATATTTAATCGAAATAAATATCCTGACAGTATGCTCCAGGAACTTCTAAATTAATGAAGAGTCTGGAAGTGTCTTTGAACTGGCTTTACTAACCTACAACATTAACTTGCTATTTTGGAGTTATTAACACAATATGTAAACTAACTAGGTTAAGAAAGTCTTAATGTTTGAAATTTCATACACTAAGATTTTGATATAGAAGACTTACATGTTGCTTTGTTAATCACTTTAAATTGTTACATAATGAAGTAGAGAAAAAGCTGCTTTATGTAGCAGGTATAGTAAGAATTACCCATTATAACAATGGACATTCTGAAAATGTACAGCTTAGATCAGTATAGAATAGATGATGCTGAGAATATGAAAAAAAAATGTCAACATGTAAATCATACCTTCTGTAGCATCTTACATGAAAACTTACTTTTTCTAATAAATTTCTTTTCAGCAATGGAGACAAAACTGATTATTTAACGGTAGACCAATTAGTGAGCTTTCTAAATGAAGTAAGCTTTTTCATACATTAAGTATCATACAAGTCTGTCTGCAGTGGCTTGCTTCTTCTGATCTTTTCATTGCATGCTCCATGCCACCATTTGCTATGTTCCTGATGAGCTGATCTTTCCATTTTGGCAATATCCAGGTGCAAAAATCAGCGCCAACCCTGCATCTTCTCCTGCTTGCTTCATGTTAGCTTCACCAGTTGCTTGTGCTCATTATTTACTGTAGTTGTAGCTGTGGTGTGCTGACTGTTTTTGGTGTTGTGTCCAGTGTGCTTCTAACCAAAGTGACTTGACATCTTTCTGTTTTTAGGAAACAAATGTTTGTGGGTTGAGCCTTCTAAATATTGAGGGGACAGTGAAGGGGAAGTCAATAGTGAATATATGTGTTGTTATTTTTAAAAAGTTACATGTGATGCAGTTTTTTAGAATGCAGAGTAGTGTAACAAAGAAAGTGTTGTACTGGCAAATCGCTATAAGTTGCTTCATTGTTAGCAAAGCAAATAAATAATCACGTATCTTCTGAAATAAACAGAGAATGAAAAGTTTTTCACAGTATTTTTAAAAATTCCTTAATGTGTTAATGTAAATGCAAGTGATACTCACGTGAATCATTCATGATGTGGCTTAACATTTTGTCAGGATCTCGCTGACTCTTATCAGTCTGGAAGTCCACTTCTGTTATACTGTTTCTTTTCTGTCATGTGCAGAGATGGGAGAACCAAAAATTATAAAGCCCCTTCTTTTAGGAGACAGGGGAGGCATTGAGCTAAATATACCTTTGCAAAGTATCCCACGCTCCAGTAATGACATCTGGTTTCTGATGGATTGCAGTGGAGTCCCTTTTTCTGCTAATCATCAAGATCTGGGAGCCACTGTAATTTTGTCTGTCTGTCTGTCACCAAAACAATGAGACTGAGTTATTTCCTATGACAATCAGATCAGTTTCTTTTAGGATGGTGCCATATTAGAAGAAGCAAGGCAACTACTCTTCTGTCCACCTTGATCCCTGATGTTCTCTTTCTGCTGGTGAAAGGGAGTGGATTCAATAGTTACAATGATATGTAGAGTATATATCCATATCAGCAAGAAGCAATAAGTGAATTTAGGCACGAGAGTATGGGGGATGAAGGTTGAGAAAGAGTGGTTTAGGCAGAATGGAAGAAGTCCAATCATCTGCCTATGAAAACTCAGGTTTTTTTCTTTAGTTTTTTTTTCCAGTATAAATTTACTTTTTAAAAAAAAATAGATTCCCTGTTTTTGGAATCTTCATGCACGACTCCTTAGCTCAGGTATATTCTACACTATTTCATTTTTGTGTACTGTCACTTAGGATACTAGCGAGCAATTAAAATGAGATCATTACTCTGTTGCTGTTTCTTTCGTCTGAGCAGCAGTGCCATCCAAACTGAAATACGTGCTCAATGTGATGGGTTTGGATGGTCGGTAGCTTCTTGTGCTGACCGAGCTGCCTTTTTGGTAGCTGATCTTAGAGCCAGAAAAGGGAAGAGCAGGGAGGAGCTGAATTACACCAGGTCCATACCCCACAACCAGGTCATTGTGCTTGCCAAAAGCTAGGCCATGATCAGGATAATCTTAAGCGATTTCCAGCATCTCTAGGCTGGGAGGGTTTTTACTTCAGCAAAGTCTCAAAGTGCTTAGTATTGACTTGGCCAAACCTTAGCCATCTCGGAAGTTAGGATTGTACCCCCAAATGGGAAATATTTCCTCAGCTTTGGCTTCCGAAATGCTACTTCAAACCCAGTATATGAGTCCTCTAACCAAAAAAGGTGAACATACTAAGATTTTTTTTAAAAAAATTCACTGTTAGTGGTGTCTTATAATTACATTTCTGCTCCAGTGGCTTGAAGTACAATCTTAAGCAAATATTCTCTGAAGTGAAGTCTCATTGAGTTCAGACAGCTTGCTCCCAAATAACTGGGCTTAGGATTGTAGAAAATGCTCAACAAAGGAAAGAAAAAAACAGGAAGACATTAAAATAGTATAAACGAACATTTTACTTAAAACGTCAGGGGATGCAATTTACTTCAATATTGTCAACTGACGTGTATCACGAGCATAAAAATTCTGATCTCATTGAGTTCCTGAAGCATCAATTTTGGTGAATTGAAATTTCCATCCTTCAACTCTTAACTCCTTTAGCTTCTGACATCCCCTCAAACATCTCTGAAGCCTCAAAAGCAAGACTTCTTTCTTTTCCCTGTTCCTTGGCTAGGTGATATGTTTCAGAAACTGAATGGCTAACATTGCCATTAAAAGTTATTATACAGAGGCCAAAATGCTCTTGTATAGCTAGGCATATAGCATAACTTCTAGAGACAAATTGTCTGTAGCTGTTATTCAGTTGTCAGATAAGTCATATAACTCATTAGGCAACTGCTAATGGCTACAGTGATTTCATAACTTGGGGCAGTTTGTCTCCAAAAGTTATACTGCTTATGCTTCATCATCATGAATATCTACAAGCAGGATCTGAAGGCCTTGGGAATGGGCTTCAACAGATGGGAAACCTTGACATCTGAGCATTCAGCCTGGAGGCAGGTGATGCAACATGGCCTCTCCCATTTTGAAGAGACACTTGTCCAGCAGACCAAGGCAAAGAGGGAATCCAGAACCCATCAAAATCGGGGAGCTGGACAGATTGTATTTGTCTTCAGTGTGGAAGGGATTGTAACTCTCAAATTGGCCTTCTCAGCCACACTAGACACTGTTCCAAGTCCTCCATACAGAGCATGTTATCATAGTCTTTCAAGACTGAAGGATAGCCTAATCATGACTAGGTAAGAGGATTTGGGCCAGAGTCAGTTTCTTCAGTACGGTACTGCACATGACTAATGAAATGTGGCTTCACCTTGATTAATTCAGTATTCCTGAGCAACATCAGTATTCTATTAAAGCTGACAGAAATACAGAATGCTTGAGACTTGCCTCTCGTGTTTTAGCTGTGCTCCTGTTAGTCGTTTGAAGCACGGTCTTAACAGATCATAAAGTGGTTGTATATGAGAGTGTGTGTAGACATACATGTGTAGACTGGCAAATTATTATTTTGTTAAAACCTGAGAACTTCGGGCCACCCAAGTGTAGACTGTGAAAGATGGAAGGAAATACAGTTATTTTTAATTTCCTGTTAAAAGAAAGCAATGAATATCGTTCTAGTGTCTTGAAGCTGTCTCTGGAAAAGGGCTCAGCAGGACATGGAAATGATCATGCCTGACTGAAATTGTTGGGCATAAAACTGAGAGCTGAAACAAGAAAGCAATTCACATGGTGCATAATAAACCTTATGGAATTCCCTGCTCATAGATATGTTGATGGCAACAAAGGGGATCAAGACAATTAAGACAGTTAATGTGTTGTTGTTAAATTAAACCTCCAGGCTCATTGGAGGTGTATTAGCTATTGGGGACCAACAGTAGTGGAGGTCTCTTCCACTCATATTCTGCTTTGGGACCCCTGGAAAGCATTTGTCTGGCCATTATTAGAAAAAAGATAGTTGGCTACATGGACCTTTGAGCTGATGTAGCAAGACTGGTGCAGTGGGGCAATTTATAGATTGGACTGTGGGGGGGTGGGGGATGGGATGTAGAAACTTAGAGGAAGTGGTTATAAGTTGAAAAAGAGAAATCATCATGTTCTCCAAAATAACAAAATGTATTCTGGGCAAGTAGACTGTATCCTACCCCTACATCCCATCACCCTCCTAGTGCTCTGATTGTTTCTGGTAGTACGCGGGACTTTATGTGTAGTGTAAGGAGGGCAAGGTTGTGTTCTGAACCTCCTTTGCTTTCTTCTTCATTTGATCTGAATATTATATATTATATTATTTTGAAACTTATGATGCAAAGCCTTCTGCTGCTCATTATGAACAGGTTGCATTTGCGGCTGGACTGGGCTTGCTAAGATTATGTGGTGCTTGCTTAGTAAAGCAGCAGTCTGTGTCTAGCTGTGTTTGGATTTCATTTGCTTTAATTTAAATGCCCAGGGAAGCTATGCATTACATTTTTATACATCTGTTCACAACACTGATTAAAAGAGAATGCCTTCCCAGGTAAATGTTTTGATTTGGCACTGCTTGTAAAAAATGTACTAACGTGGGCAGTAGACAAAGGAATGGTTTGGCTAAAAAAAAGTATTTATATTTCATGGAGTTTAGCTTGATGTTGAACAGACTATTTAAGAAATAGAAGTAAAAATTCCTTGGTACCTCTTATATAAAGACTGGCCTCCTCAAATCCAAAACATGTGGCCCTTTGCATTGTAACTCCAAATGTCACAAAATGGAGTTCACAACTAGGCATCCACCTAGATGGGGTGGTTTATATTGCCCTAGATTTATTTTGCTTGAAAATGCTTACATGCCACTTACCTGGCTGAAGAATGCTTAGTTTTGTTTTCTGTTTTGATGGAGAATCAGGCACACAAGGGGGTATTCAAATGCTCTATTACAAAGTAAAAAAATCTTATGTCCTGTGGACTCCTGTTAGTGGTTAATACGTGAGCTAATCTCTTAGTGATGACTGGAGATGCATTTTGCCATCTTACAGGTACCTGTCAGCCTTAGACGTTTGGCTAAAGTACCTAAAATCATAGGATGGATAATTCTGTAGTTCACATCTTTTATTTGTTAAAATGAAAATAAGGCTTAAAAGCCCCATTGCTATCAGGACTTGGTGTTTGAGCAAGATAATTAGGATTGAGCTGTAGAGAAGGCCAGGGATGGTTTATTTATTATCAATGTTCCAACTATATAATACATACAAAAAGGTCTACAATAAATAATATGCTTTCTTTTTTGGAGGTGGTCAATAGAAACTTGATTTGACAAAAATCCTTGCTCTTACACACTATGCTTGCACCCATGTTAAATTCCGTATGACATATTTCCTAGCTCAAAGGGTTTATTTGTGTTTTTCCTCTTCTTAAGTAGAAAGTATTGTGTTTATGTTAACATTGTACCTGGCCATGCATCTGTCCTTCTTTTGCATACAACTTCAGATATAATTCTGTGCAGCCATGTTCCTTACTAAAGCTGAATAAGCATGTACTTAACTTTTATATGAGTAATAAAAAAATAAGCTACTATCCCTGTTGCCTCACTACCTTGGCTGCCGTCATCTGGGCCCACAGTCTGTGCTGCTGCCATCCACTGCCACTTGCTTCGACGGCCTGCACCGCTATGGCTTGCCTTAAGGGAATCCGGGCTGCCCTTTGCAAAGATGGTGGCTGTGGCTTCCCAGTTCTAAAAGAAGCCGCAGCCACCATCTTTGAAAAGGCAGCCGTTGTCCCTTACGACAAGCTGTGGCTGTGCCCACAGCGGGCAGCAATGGATGGTGGCAGCAGTGGGCAGCAATGGATGACAGCAGCGCAGGGCAGTGGTGGATGACAGCAGTGACTAAGGTAGGGGGGAAGGGGGCGAGGGACAGACTGTGGGGCTGGGTGGCTGCCTATGGTCCTGCTGATCAGCTGATTGGTGGGTCCAAAGGCAGAGTGGGAAGGCCATAGGCAGAGATAGGAGGCTAGCCTTCCCTCTCTTCGTATGGGCGATGAATAAAAAAATTGACAAATATTTGTCCTTTCATATTTGTTGGGGTCTGTAGAACTCATGAATACGAAGGGACAAATATTTAACAAATCAGAGATTTTGAATGACTATTACAATTCATTTTTTAAAAATTCATCCCCCTGTCTAGTCAGGGGCACAAGCTTTTGTGGACTGCAGCCCTCTTTGTTAGATGAAGGTGCCACAATTTTCCTTGCTGCAGTTTTCCTTTACTGAGTTTGCTGCAACAGGCTAACATGGTGAACTGATAATTTCTCTCCAGGGTACCAAGAATTTTTATCTTGTCACTACGCATGATAGAAATTAGTAATTTAATCCTGTCTCTTCTATGCCAATTTTAATGTCCAGTAATTCTGACTTACGTGTGTTTGCCTGACAAAGTGGTATGTTATGAGATGATGTACCCATTCCGTGAAGTTGTTTATTGAACTTATGTCATTTCACAACATGATCTTTGAACTGTAGTGGAAAAATTCTCTCTCTATGTCTATGTTTTCACACTGGGGATAAATGGCAGTAGTTCAGAATGAAAAAAGTTGTATAATTTGGAAAATTCAGAAGATGATTTCAGAAATGATCTAGTAGGAACTAGTTTGTGTGTTTAAAACTAATTTTAAAGTAGGAGAGATGAATTTATTAATGAATATTGAATAATTTACAATACATACAACTTGAAGTTGTTTATTGTGTATCATTGTATATTAACAATGCTAATATATTAGCTTTTATATTTATATATAAATGCTGATTTATATATTAGCAATGCACTTATTGTGGGCATGTGTTATAACTATTCTACCTGAAAAGAATGTTAGGCTTTCTTTTTTAAAAAAAGTCTAAAGTAAGTAGAAAACTGAAGGATAAGTAGAAAAAAATCAATTTAAAAATCAACTGTTTCCCTCTAAGCATTGATACAATGTTTGTAGAAGTAGAGTTGCTCCCGAGTCATCTTTCTTAACCTGCTTTCCCCTTTAACCTTAGCATCAGCGAGATCCCCGGCTGAATGAAATTTTATTTCCATTCTATGATACTAAAAGAGCAATGCAGATAATTGAGACCTATGAGCCAGATGAAGACTTGAAAAGCAAAGGTAAGATGAAGGTGTTGTGAAATGATCATGTCTACAGGTGATGTGGTTTTCTTTGAAGTAGCTTGTGTAGGTGTCTCAGGTACCCAGGCTTTTGTCTCATGGCAGGGGACATCCCTGACGTACATTCATTCCTTGTGCATCTTTGAAATAAGACAGTGAGGTGATTCATCCTGGCATTGTGCTGCCAGAGGATCTGCCAGTGCCCCTGAGTAAAGCTGGCCCTGGCTGCAACCATTTAACCTACGACTAAATCAGCAAAACTAAATGGCTTTGTCAATGTCCCATGGGGAGACAAAGGAAACAAAGGCAGAACTTGTTCAAAGAAGCCTTTGGGTGAGAACAGTGAGAATAGTGAGCGATGAGGCCTCTCAGGAAGAGAGAGAGAGAGAAAGAAACAGGCAAGATTGGGAAGGAAGTGCTGTGACTACACACTGTGAATCACACTCAGCAAATCTTTTCTCCCTTTCCTTTTCAATGGCTTTTAGTGGCTTACTAGCCTCTTAGGCTGACACACCAGCTGCATGACCATAGCCTTGTGATATGAGTTGGATAAGCCTCATACTTATTCATACACCCACGTTGATCCAGCTTGGGACTATCTTTGAAAATTGTCTTGAAACTAACAACAGCTAGTGTGAAGCAGGGCATTTCGGTATTAAATGTTGATTAGCTCGTAATGAACCTACTGTGCTATTATTCTAGACCTAGTTCAAAGTGCCTTTTGCAACCTTTAAGGCCAGGTCACCTGAAGGAGTATTTTCTCTTGTATTTAGCTGCATGGCTTTTAAGATCATCCTCTTACTGTGGATGCCCTGACCAAATATGTCTAGTGGTGAGAGCAGTGGTGCCTTATCTGTGGACTGCCTTCCCTGGACAGAATCACCCGCTACTTGATTTCAGATCTTCCCAGTGCTGGAGGACAACCTTTTTGTTCTACCTGGCATCTTAAGAATCTTTTGGAGCTTTTAGATCTCTGCTTAGCTTTAATTTTGCTGCTGGTGCTCCCCATTGTTGCTTATTTTCTCATGCTTTTCTTATGTCTTGTTTTAGTTGAGTGATTGATTCTCACTTTCTTTATTTGTCTGTACACTGACCAAAGAACATAGGTTACAAGGTATATTTAAATGCACAATAAATAAATAATAAATAAATAAGTTGGTCTTTAAGGTGTCACCATGTTTGTTTTTTAATTTTTATTTTCACTTTGTTTTCACACAGTCTTTGTTTTCACAAATTTAGTCTGCTTGCACAGACTAACACAGCTACCCTTTATTTTCACAAAGTTAGTCCGCTTGCATAGAATAACACAGCTACCCCTTCTACAACTGATAAAGAATTAACACATTACTTGTGCAAGTGCCATTTACTACTTAGAGCCACTATGGACCCTTTCAGTAGGTAGTACAGAGTTGTTGATTGAACTAAAATAAGAAGGTTGTCAAGTTTTTATAGTCTGCAGAAATCACATAGCTGGTTGGACAACCATACTCAATTAGTGCTTGTTAATAACTCTCAGTATCAAACTGGAGGGAGATCTCCATCTAAATGTGACTCCTAGAGCATATGCTACTTAAGACTTTCATAATATGAACATACAATTGCTTCACACGTTGCCATTTCATTCCAAACAACATACAAGTGCGTACTCATTTCTTTCTACACTCGTATTTCATTTCTTCACATCCTTGCTCATCACTAGTTTAGGAGAATTCTAAATATAGAGCCATGGGTGTTGTACCAAATACAACAACAAATTTGGTTTCATAGTCAATTGAAATTAGAGCAGCTGGAGGTGCTCCCTTCCATCCTCAGTGCCTCCCCACCAGAATAAATGCATGGGATATATAATGCTGTGCTTTCATGCTTTTTCAGGTCTCATGTCAAGTGATGGGTTTTGCCGGTACTTGATGTCAGATGAGAATGCACCTGTCTTCCTAGACCGCTTAGAACTATACCAAGAAATGGAACATCCTTTGGCTCACTACTTCATTAGCTCCTCCCATAACACATATCTCACAGGAAGACAGTTTGGTGGGAAGTCATCTGTGGAGATGTATAGACAAGTCCTTTTAGCTGGATGCAGGTTAGAACCTATGGGTGTGTTAGAGGGTAGCTATACTGTAAAATGGGTTACATTTATCTGAATCATCACTACCTTGGATTCAACAAGTACATGTATGACACATATATTAGGTTACCAACATTGAATAAAATACTATATACGGTGCACTCGCTAAGCGATTCACCACTGTACTGAAAATCGTAAGGGTGTTATTGAAATTTTCCAGCGATAAATTAAAAAAATAAAATGCTAGATGAGCAAAAGACAAAATAGTTTGTTTTACCAATCAAATGTTATTTCTTTTGATCACATATAGGAGCAAAGAAAATGTACTGGAGTCCTATGGATTTCATATGCATTTGTTTATATCCAAATGAATCTATATTAATGTATTTCAAATTTATATTTAACTGCTTATAAATATGTGGTGAATTCAACTCAAGATGGTTGAATAAATGCTATCTAGTTATTTTCTATCAGACACTTTCTAGCTATGTAGGTAATATGTTTTAAGGTAGTGACTTTCATGCCACATAATATGAAGTAAATTCTGTTAATTGTGCATTTAGTGGGTAATTTCGGTTGCACAACTCTACTTACATAATGAGAATGATGTCATTGGCAGCAGAATATTGCCATTGGTTCAAAGCTTCCTTTTGTGATTCTAGGGTATATGTAGCTGAAAAAAATAGTGCAACAAAGTTGTTTGCACCCCAAGTCAGAAAACGAAGCTGTTAATGGCATCATTCCCGTTGCACAGGCAGATCCTGCCCAGTGGGATTTTGACTGTAAAAGACAATTGCTTTAAAAATGAAAGGGGATTCAGTACCTCCTGCTCCTCTTTTTTTCAGATGTGTTGAACTTGATTGTTGGGATGGCAAAGGCGAAGACCAAGAACCAATAATAACACATGGGAAAGCAATGTGTACAGACATACTTTTCAAAGTAAGTCTTGTAATCAATGTAAAAGTCCCAGTCTCATATCTTTTAATACACTTCTTTCTCAGTTTATGAGGAACTCAACTATAGTGTTATGCTGCTGTTCCATCCAATTATCTTAAAGATTTTCTATGCCTTCCATACACCATTATTTCATAGCTTTCACATGATTTACTATCACTAACCTGTGCTACACACTAGCCATCTATTGTCAGAGCAGGGAAGTACCTCATCCTATCACTGCAAGATGATATGCCACTCCCTGCTCTGACCACAGGCTGCTGCTGGTGCAGCAACATTCAGCAACAAGTCTTCCCAAAACTACAGGTTAGAATTTATTCTGTATCTCTTGTATGTAAGGCTACTTTCTTTGAACAAGATCTTACCTATAGTGATGGCCTGCATAGATTTGTACTGTACTTTTTCATTGTCTTTCTTTTGATGCCTCTTTTCCAGTTTAATTGTTGTTTTTAATATGATAATCCATTTTTCTATAGTACAATTTATTGGCTGAGATCCAGTAGTATGTTATGACTAGAGTAGTCTTGTTGAATCAATGGAACTTACATAGGTGTTATCTCACCAAATCGCCACTGAGTCAGTGCTGTAGTTGCGGCTTATTACTGGATTTCAGCCATTGTGTTCTTAACAGTATCTGTTGCTTAATTGTGTTGTGAGACGCCTCGGGGAAAAGGCATAGGACGAAATGTATAAACAAATTCAGCAGTACAGATCAAAGGATTAGAGATAATGTATTGCTTATGACCACAACTTCCTTCAGCAACAGAGGGAGCTATGAAAATCTCGGTATCCAAGGTGCCCCCTCCTCTTCCATGCACCCACAGCAAGAATTTCCAGCCACTTTGATTCCATTTGTGGAGGAACTCCACGTGCCCTCCCCCCGAAAATTAGAGGGAACATTGCCAGTATCCATTTTAATGGTCGAGGAAAAATAAATTAAACAATCAATCTTAAATTATTTTCAAGGTGTGTTTTATCTGCTTGAATGTGTTTTATCATAAACTGCATCTGAATTCACATGCGCAATGTGTCCTCTGCCTTTTTAAAGGACGTGATTCAAGCCATTAAGGAAACAGCATTTGTGACATCTGAATATCCTGTCATCTTGTCGTTTGAAAATCACTGCAGGTATGTTATGAAGAATTGCTTTTCTTGTGTATTTCAGAACGGAGGTGGAACTTCGTTCGGTTATTTTTAAAAAAACTACAACTCCCAGAACCACCCTATCATTCTTGCTACTATTTATTACTTTGGATTGCACAATGACATATGAAAACACTGGCAAAACACAAAGCAAAAGATCTCCACAAGGAAACTCGGTTATTTTTTTTAAACTACAACTCCCAGAACCACCCTATCATTCTTGCTACTAGTTATTACTTTGGATTGCACAATGACATATGAAAACACTGGCAAAACACAAAGCAAAAGATCTCCACAAGGAACTGTATTCTTCACATGATATAGGGAACCAGCTGGAGCATATTATAGCAAACACTAAGAACTATAGCCTTGACCCCATGCTGTTCTGCAGCTGAATACATCAGCCTCATATGGTACAGTTCAGCTGTGCAAAACAGATATTCGTAGTACTCACTGAAAGTTGTAAAATCATTAATGGATGCCTGAAGCCTGTTGGTAAAATCAGTTATCTAGCATACATTGCACCCAGTGATCTATAGAGGGAGACAGCAGCTAATAGTGAAAGACCCAAACCATTTATAGCAAATGCACATCTGTTCCTTGGCTATCATCCTGCCTTTCCCAGGAAAATATTTTTCAGAAAATATGTGAATCTAGAACAAATGACAGAGAATGCCAGCATCATAATGTGGAAAGAAATAACTGTCCACCTTTTAAAAACTGATGGAACCTCAGGTGAATCTGACCCCTGGTCACATGGAGAACTGAGTTACTTGGCAGACATATAATAGGCTGCAGAGTGGTATTGGCAGAACCAAAGTGAATTTCAGAAAAAGGGACTGTGTACCAAAACAATCCTTTGTGAGAGTGGAGAAGAACAAACAGCTGTACACTTATGTCACTGTACCTATACCCATCAACATGTACTAAGGAAGACATGATGTTAGCTATTCCTTGATGTTGCCTGCAATTGGGTGAAAATTATCTGCTGCATTTATTAATTGTACTGTGGCCTTTCTCGCACAAAGAAAGAAACGAACGTCTTGCTATTGGGCTTGGTACGTTTCTGGGAGTTGCGCTTCCAGAAAAATGGGGCAAACCAGCTAAGTAGTGAAAGCAGTCAAAGATTATGAAGTTAAGTTATATGTGAGGCCACCAGAAAATACCGTATTTTTCGCACCATAAGACGCACTTTTTCCCCACAAAACAGGGGGGTGGAAAGTCTGTGCGTCTTATGGAACGAAGAAAACAGATTATATTTTCCTGTTTTCTTCTCCTAAAAAATTGGTGCGTCTTATGGAAAGGTGCGTCTTATGGAGCGAAGTGGTTTAAACAGGAAAATGAGACCAGATTTACGTTGCATTCTCTTGTTTTAAACTGCGATACAACAGTTTTTGTACATGTGAAATTTACTTTCATATACAGTGGACCCTTGACTTATGAAGGTCCCTACTCACAAAAATTTCGAGGTACAAAAAGCTCCGGCTGCAAAATTTTAGTTTGACTTGTGGCCGGAGCTTCGACCTACGAAAGGCAGGGGGAAAGAGCAGGAAATTCAAAGCCACCCCTGCTGCCCTCTGCCTACCGTCCCCACTACCCTCTGCACCAGGGACGGGAGACAGGGACAGCAAAGGGAGTTGTGAAGCTCCGGAAGCCAGAAGCCGGCAGCGGGGGTGGAGCGGCTCAGAAAGCTGGCAGTGGGCACGGAGCGGCTTTCGGCTTCCCAGGCTTCCAAAGCTGTACCTGCTGCCCTCTGTCTCCCGTCCCGGTGCCCTCTACCTTCTGTCCACACAGGGCAGAAGGCAGAGGGCACCAGGGATGGGAGACAGAGGGCAGCGGGTGCAGCTTTGGGAGCCCGGGAATATAAGTTGAGGGTCCACTGTAATGGTTTTACTTATCCAACTACTTTTAGTTTTATAGTGTTCAAATTATGGTGTTCACCTATTTTAGTCTTGTTTTGGGCCCTCTTGGTACCAGTTCTGGGAGAAATGCAAGAAGTTTAAACAAATAAAATAAATAAATAGTTGTGTATGGTTGAGCTGTTCCGTTACAATGGTTTTCAGTTTGCAGTAATAAAAAAAAATTAGATACCATACCTTTTTCAATTTAGGCTGATAATAATGCCTCTATTCTAGCAAATACCAACAATACAAAATGTCAAAATACTGTGAAGATATTTTTGGAGATCTTCTATTGAAGCAGCCACTAGAAACACATCCAGTAAGTACCTTCCTGCTCTTTTGTTTAGATTGTCTTGTAAACAGTTCTTGAAAATTCACTGGTGAGAGTCGTGTATGTTCAAAGGCATGGGTGATATCAGGTTTCTGAAAAAAAGCCCCTGAGCTGTCTTCCTCTTTCTCATTTTTCTTTTTCAATTTCTTGGTGTACTGTTTCTAAAATCTTGCATTGTGTGGCTACCAGATTTTAGGAAGACCAAATATTACAACCACTTCCTAATTATGAAAGCTGGGGAAAATTGTTTGAACTACAACTCCCAGAATCCCCTTCTCCAGTGGCCATTTTGACTGGAAGGTTATGGAAGTTGTAGATGGGGAAAATTTTTTCCCAGAGTTCTGCTCATAATCTCCATTCATTTTCCTTGGTGGCATCTTTCTTTCTTTCTTTCTTTCTTTCTTTCTTTCTTTCTTTCTTTCTTTCTTTCTTTCTTTCTTTCTTTCTTTCTTTCTTTCTTTCTTTCTTATTTATTTATTTATTTATTTATTTCTGAAATCTTGGTAGAGTGACACTCATCATAAATGGGGATGAAATCATTAGCTGCAAATATCATTAGTTTAACTTTTCCTATTTCAGCAGAGCTGAAGGGAAGGAGAGGAAACGTTAAATTAAAGATTATCAACTGTAGCTGATGAGTTAATCACCATTTATGACCATTCCGCTCTCTCAAGAGAAATTCAACCACAAATATAATTACATACATCACATAAATTAAATAATCTTGTTTTACCTATTCCATTGACAAAAGTAAATAGAAGGAAAACATAATGTGAGTATTATCTCGAAAGTGCCATCAATAAAGCTGGGGTACAAACCTTTGATAGCAGTTTAAGCTAAAGGGAAGTGGGAAAGCAGGAACAGTGATGACTGGAATTGCAGATGCATCAGGCAGCATTGTGTCACACTGTGATAAATCATGCTGTTGTGCTTTGTTTGCATGGCAGCATTTTATTCCCTCTAGAGTTTTATCCCCAAATCAGAATCTTATTAATTCCTACGTGTCTATGTTTCATTCTGTCCTCCTTGGCTCCACATAGATATTGCTCTGGTATTATATATTTATTTACTTTAGTAATTTCCATTTCATTTCTCTCTCCCATATGTTGTCTATCTGTTTACTGTCCTTGTTCTTCCTACGCTTCACTTCCCTAGCAGCTCTTGTTCTTGTCGAGCAGCCTTTCCCTGTCTGGTGTCCTCATGAGGTATAAAACCCTGTAATTCCCAATACCCTAGACTGGCAAGGACAATAACCATGTTAGCAGGGATATGGGGTGGGATTTTAACCCCACAAATCTGGAGAATACTAGCATAGGGAAGACTCTTGTAGAGTGACCTTTCTCATATGGCTTTATCTGCCATTTAGCCCAGATGGCCAACTTCTAAGGTAAGTGTTGCTGTTGCAGCCAACCTTTTCCCTGCTCTTATTGACCAAATGCTAGCTTTTACCACTGGCCTGCTTCTATCCCCCCCCTCCATATATACTTTAAAGTGCACTTTAAAGTGTACTTACCTGCTGTGTGGTCTCTTTCCTAATATCTTAGTCATTCTGGGGAAACACTCTGTGTGTGCCATATCAGGCCTGCTTACTTGCAGTCCTGCCAGTTTCTCTCAAAATATACCCAGCTCTAACAAATCCCACAGCCTGTCTCCGTAATACACCAGGGGTGGCTGCTTGACATGCTTGTCTGTGTGTTTCTGTTAGGGTTCCTTCTTTTGGTACTGGATCACCCTATAAGAAGAAGCCACACAAAAGCTGGAGCACCAGCTTACAGGCACTATAACCCTTTACTGTTTCCTGTCCGTTGCTTCTCTGTCCCCAAGCAGCCACCCATTCCAGCAAAGGAGACATCAGTAGCCACTATGGTCTCACACAGTTACTGTCCACCTCATTAAATAAAGACTGTGCCCACTTACATCTCTTCCTGCGTATCCCCATCTCAATGAGAAAGAGACTGTAGCTGCATGCTCCTGCTGGTTTTGGCTTAAGAGAGAGGGGGGGGGGAGAGAGAAAAATAATAAATAATATAATCCCTGCTTTCATGTGAAGAGAAGGATGGGAAGAAGGAAAGAAGAGATAGACAAGCCATTATAACATGATGTGGATGCTGCCTATTAAAGGAGAGGAAAACTTTCCATTATGACTTAATGTTTTGCTATTTGCTGGAAGTAGAGAGACCAGCTATTGTGACTTGACTTGATGGACAGGGGCTGGCTATTACGAACTCATACTGCTGATGATCATTTGAAGGAGAGTGTCCAGCTTTTATCCTCTCAGGCTGATGTTAATAGCCACAGTATGGTCTCTTACAATAAACATCAATTTCTATCCTTTTTCATCTAATATGAAGGATAGTGGTGAACTTTTGAATCAGCGCCTGGTGTCAATACTAGCCTAGGCGAGCACTGACAAATAGAAGCTTCACCAAGACAAGAAGAGAGATTCCTGATCAGGATGGACAAAGACTCTGAAATAGAGTTTCAGCCTCTTTTGGGTGCACTTCACATCTCGGAGAATCAGGTTCAAAGTCTGGGAGTGCTCTTGGATTTGACATTGCTCTTGGATGAAGAAGAGTAGATGGCTGTGGCCAATAGTATCTTGCTAAAATTGGTGTGCCATCTGTACCCATTTCTGAAGAGATGTGACTTGGCAGTGATGGTTAATACAGAACTTAGTTACATCAAGTTACATGGTTGCAGTGTGATCTCTGATTTTTGAAAAGGCTTCTGAAGCTTCATTTGGTCCTGTCTGCTGCTGGGCAAAATTTTGGTTTTTATTTGCCTAGAGACTCTGTTATACCAGTGCCACAAGAGCTGCATTGGTCCACTTCTGGGCAGAATTTGGAAGGTTGAAGATTAATTTTAAAAACCTGAAATGGCTTAGGTGGAAAATGCTCTAGAGGTCACTCTTTGATGGTTGCAGTAGATTAGGGAATGCCTTGTTCCATGAAGAGAAGCTGGCTGGTTTGTTTGCTTTATTTCTATTGCTGAGGACAACTTTATTTTGTCAAGCTTTTGTGGTATGTGACAGATAATATTTTTATGGTTTGGGTTTGATTGCTAACCTTGTCTTCTTGGTTCATTCTTCATATTGCCATCTTTAAAATAACACAGTTTTTAAATGTTGTCAGCTACCATGAATTGTGCTTTTGCATAGAAAGGAAGAAAATAAATATTTTAATAAATTAATTAATTAGACACCCTCTTGCTTGAAGTAGAAAGACTGGCCATTGTGAATCTCATACTGAATCAAGATAGTGACTAACAGATATACCCACATGTTAATGCTGATAGTCTCAAGGGGAAACTAGTGAAATGTATTCAGTTATAGTTCACATATATAAACGGCTTGGGCCCTGGATACCTGAAGGACCGCCTCCTTCCATATGAGCCTACCCGGCAGTTAAGATCTAGCCAGGGGGCACTTTTGAAAGAGCCGTCCCTCAAGGAGGTAAGAGGGACGGCTTGTAAACAAAGGGCCTTTTCGGCAGCTGCCCCCAGACTATGGAATGCCCTCCCGACTAAGATTTGTGTGGCGCCGACACTGATGACATTTCGGCACCAGGTCAAAACCTTCCTGTTCCAGAAGGCTTTTAACTGAAATAATATTAGCTGTGGGTCCAATGGCAATTTTATACTGTAGTTTCTATGGACGGAAAAGAGCAGATATGGATTAAATGGTTTTCAATGCATTCCTATGGGAAATGCAGATTCAACATAAGAACTTTTCAACTTGAGAACCACCTTCCA